ACCTTGCTCAACTCAGTCACACAAAGAGCCCTCAGATGCAGTGACACATTCTGCATGAGCTGGTTACCAGGACCAGGAGAGGTACCAATAATAATGCTTTAAAAATTGAAAACAGCTTATGCTACTTAGTAGCATAGCGATGTATATCACAGAATCACAGAATGTTAGGGATTGGAAGGGACCTCAAAGGATCATCTAGTCCAATCCCCCTGCCGGAGCAGGACCACCTAGATCAGATCACACAAGAACGCAGCCACGCGGGTTTTGAACATCTCCAGAGAAGGAGACTCCACAACCTCTCTGGGCAGCCTGTTCCGGTGTTCTGTTACCCTTACTGGGAAGAAGTTCTTCCTCATGTCTAAGCGGAACCTCCTATGTTCCAGCTTATATCCATTTCCCCTTGTCCTATCACTGTATGCCACTGAGAAAAGCCTGGCTCCATCCTCATGACAGTTACCCTTTACATATTTGTGAGTGATTTACAGTTTGTTTGTTTGGGTTTTTTTTCTGGTTTACCTTACAAACAACCGGAAATTAAAAGGTAAAGCTAAAAAATAGACCTAAATATGAACCCAGGTCATGTGTTACTACACCAGTTCACTTCACATGATTTAAAAATTAGACTCCCATCCCCTGGAGAGAAAGGTTCATGCCTTGCAACAACGGCATAAAACGCATCAGTCTGAAAGTCTGGAGCCTTAAAAACTGAGAAAAATTCACATATCTCAGCGTGGGAAGGATCCTCTCAGCGGGAGCAGGGATCTCTGTGCAGGAGGGCTGACGTCAGTGGGAGTGGGAGGGAAACGGTGATGGGAGGTTTGTCAGGAAAACGATTGAGGACAGTTTCAGTGGGAACAGGGAGGAATCAAGAGAGGGTGGATGGCCTCAGTGGAAGCATGGATAGTACGTGTGGGAGTTTCAAAGGGAGGGAGAGCTCGTGTGTTCCCAGGGGAAGGAATTACCAGACAGACAGGAAAAGAGCAGGCGGCTTAACGGACTAAATAACGTGCTGTTAAATGCTGAAATGAGACCCACTTCAGGTACAACATAGCATACAGCCTCCGACATGCAGAATTATGCAACCATTGGTTTACAGCGACTGCAAAACTCTCACGCAATTTCACAGGGTTTGAATGAAGAAAACTTCCTGGCTGTAGGGCCATGGATTTAAACTGGCTGTCCTGTATCGGCTGATAAATCAAAAGGCTATTTCACATTTAACCCTGCTGACTTAGGACTACTTTTAATTTAAAACAAAGGAAGCCTGGATTTACTCTCTGATCCCCTTGCACCCAAACGCACATATTTCTGTGTTAAATGTACATGACAGGGAGAGTTACACAAGAGGAAGGAAATCTCAAATACGTAAAAGAATGACAGAGCAAAATAAATGTGCAATGTATGTGCTACAGAGTATCTTAATGCACTATAGAAGAGTGACTGACACACACACGTTGTGTTGGGACAGTATATGCTTATGAACAGCCAAGCCAATTTTAAATAAATGCTCATGAAGTGCTTATTCCAGCATTTATTCCACTTATGCTATAGATTAAACATAGGTATTATTCTAAAGGTGTTTAAGCAGGTTTCTATAAAGGCAAGTACCTTTACCACAAATTCAGCAATACAAATGCCTGAAGAAGAAAATCATAACTAATATACATGAAAAAGACAGACTAGCATAATTTTGAATCCACTTTCTTGAGATTTTTAGAGTTTAAAAAAAAAAAAAAACAGTACCGGGTGAGTATCACTTGATATTCTTACTGTAGCACTGGATAATCGAACCCCAGTCACTGTTACTGCATCTAAGTCTTGCTCATCTTTCACTGGGAAAAGTACAGAGTTTAAACTGCACAGTCGATAATTGAAAATTCAGAGAAGCGTTTTCATGGTCGGTCCACTTTTTAGATACAGCACGTACTCCAAGATGTTCATAAATTTTCAAATTAAAGCCAAGTCTGAAATTAGTAATTAAGGCAGGAGATACAGGTGCCATGACCAAATAGAATTTATTAAAAGGGCTCCTCTATTTCTCACATACTATCACCATGCTCATATATACCAGAAATAAGTATTATGGCATTTATCTCTGCACAGACACACACTTACTTTCAGGACTGTTCTGCAAATTTGCTATGGATAAACTTTGGGTTTTCCATATTAGGAAAGAACAGGTAACTTCTTTAGCTACACTTTGCAAATTGATGTAAATCACAAAATAGAGTATGCCCACACCACACATGCAGAAAGTTATCCTCTGCTATTTGACCAGAAGAATGATATAATCAGACATAAACATAAAGCCAGAATAAGCCTGGGAGCTAATTAACTATATACATAATGCCGTTTTACAGTTTGCATGGGTTATTTCTTTTTATGACACTTTCCAACTTGAAAAATGTGCACTATAGCTAACAAACTGATGCAATAAAAGTTATTGAACTACCTCTTATACATATTTTAATAAACTTAATGACAGCCAAAGTGAAAATATGAGATTTACACACGGGCCAAGTTTTGTTCTTAGCTCTCACATTGGACTCTCTTGGCTTTAATCTGTGCATATACAACAAAAGAATGTGAATGAATTTCAATTACAGCGTCTCTGAAGTCAAGTGAAAATGCCATTCAGACAGGTTTCTGGCTATTCACACAAATTCTGATGACACCACGATTGGCCAATGCACAGAAGGTTTGTAGTTTCTTGTGTTCCTGTAAGGGTGTCCCAGGGCCCACGAAAGGGGTACTACACACTCTGAAGAACAGCAATAGTTCCTAGTAGCACCCTAATTCTTAACAGTTCTTCCTCAAATCAAAAATCCTTTTAACTCCAAAACAGCACAACGTCCTGCCCGATGCTCCTTTTGGCTTCAGAAACGTCAGGCTCCTGACCATTATCTTCAACGTTCTCACACTTCGTTTCTTTCCAAACAACTTCACTATACTGTGAAAACTGCCCTCCATTGATAGCACAGCCCTCTCCAGCACAAGGCGGTTATCTAGCACACGCAGAACTGTAAATCTGATCATACTACACGCACTAACGATAAAAGCAGAGAATGAAATACCATGCTGCTTTATAGCTCTGAAGAGCATTATAGGATTTTGCAACATGAAAATCATGCTCAAGTGATGTGTCCAACAGATTTTGTATTCAGCTGATGACAAACAGAATTCCATTCTCATTTCTCAAAATCCATCGTTTCACAGCAATGAGCTTAGAGTGATGACAAGGGCAGAAAATATGACTGAGTGATAAAAATCAGAACGACTGCCAATGAGATTACAGTATGCATATGAACCAACATCAACCGCATAGCATCTGGCTGAATTATCCAAACCTAGTAACAGGAATTTTGACAAAGTTCTTGAAATGAAACAAAAAAATTCAACAAAACTAAGACTGCTTTCCATTCATGCTTCTGGAAATAGATTTTGGAGCTGGTTTTTTTCCTCATAAGCAAGCATACAGAAGACAAATTCACAGAATTTAAATTTTAAGAATTTTTTTTTGTTTAGATTTTGTAATGTGCAGTTATAAGCACAATTAAAAATTCAGCTAGCAAAACAATTGTCAGGATTCTGATGACAACTTCAGTTTCCTCTTCTGTGGTTACTGTGTTAAATATGCCATAAGCACGTGTATCGTGTGTGAACAGGGCCATAAAGTTCAGTTTCCTGTAAAGTGTTATTAACACAAAAATTTGGTTTAGTATAACACCATTCAGCTTCATGTTCTGCCTTAGGTATTGTTAATTCCTCCTCTGACTCACTACTTACAAAGTGTCTTCTCATTTTCTAGACTTCTTTTAAACTCCCGTGAACTGAGATTACTGTATCTGGAGGAAAACAATTGAACAAAATCACGCACAGTACTGAAGAGAATTATTCCAGGTCAATTATTCCAGCCGTCTTAACGAGCACGCAAAAATCCTGAGAAAACTATGAATCATTAGAGTTTGTGCGAGTCTGCAAAATGCTGGACATTCGACTAGTTCTTGCCTGCATCTCAAGCTTGTATCTTATATTTACAGCATGTGTATTGCAGTTCTTATCACGGTAACCCAGAGCACATCAGCCATGTTATATAATATCCCCTGGGCTGCTACAATTTCTTTTTTTTTTAATATTTGCAATTACTTATTTTTTTACAAAATATAGTTCCCCCCAAAAAAGCAAAGATACGAAATAATCAAAACCTAGAGCATTAGGAACTAAAGTACAACCCAAAAACAAACGGGCCATCAACAGAAAGCAAACAGACAAGCAAGCACTCCGCACCACTAACTCTCCCACTGTAAAAAAAAATAAATCACAAATTACAATTTTTTTTCAGTACGTGTCTGTCAACTGCATACAGCCTTGTGTTGCATCTCTACACAAAAGTACCCACGCTAACATACATGCAAAAAAACCTCCAAATAATACCGTATTTGCTGCAACAGACAAGGTCAACAAGTTGTTAATGTAAATCAGTACCCAGAGCAAAAACCGCTGTCGCTCTCCTTTCAACTTTCTGAATGGAAGAGGTATGCAAATTGATCAGCCCGGCCAGCAGATCGCTTCGGACTGCGATTTGCCTCTGCGTCCCAACAAGACAAGCACAAACAGAAACACTGGATGACCCGGCACAAACAAACATGTAAAACACAGAGTCGGTGGCAGCGCAGCTCCCATGCACACACGGTCCCACCACAGACGACGGGCCCTCCGCGTCCAGAAGCAAGACCCGTGCCCCTGGCTCTAACGACTGACCACTCTCCTTCCCGGCATTAGGAAAACTCATTTTGTAGAAGGAAGAAAGAAGCTTGGGTACACCCATAAAGTCGTTTCAGGAGACTGATTAGTTTATAGACGAAAGCAATAGCTCAAGCCAGGAAAAGCTCCTCCGCAACGTATCGCTTCGGCAGGGAGACTCCTTGGGTTAAACCGCTACAGCCAACTCCTGTTCTGAGAGAAACAGTGCTCACGTTTAGCACCCTTTTTACCTTAACACTGGATCTGCTGGTCTGGGTCTCTGCCTCCATGCTCTGGCTGTTCTCCCTCTTGTCTTTCTTAGAGGAATTAGTCCTCACCTTATAAGTGGATGTGTTGGAGGATTTAATGAATAATCCTGGGACGGGGTTGCCTTGCTGCTGTTGAGACATGGTTGTGTTGGTCTGGTGAGGGGAATTGCACTCCTCAGACTCTTTGCTACTGTGATAGACCACTCTGCTGTCAGAGATGTGGATGCTTGGAGCACAGCCCATGCTTTGTGGCCACCTGGGGAATACTTCTAAATCGTATATATATATATATACGTGTATATATATATCTCTTTCCTTCCCGTTGGTATTTTCCCCCTGCTTAATTTTTTTGTTAACAGGTTGAATCTCTTTCCTGGGTCTCCGCTACACTCTGAAGCATTGCCATCAGTCCCTTCTACACCACCAGAAACGTGTCTGTTCTCCTCGTCCTCCAGGAAACGGATCCTTTTATCTCAATCTCTGCAGTGGGCTGGGGAGCTGGTGGGAAGGGAAGGGGGGAATCAAGAACCAGTCGACTTCATATTTTCACAGATTATTATTAATTTTTCTAAGCCATCTGAGAATCTTGGTAGGGTTTGCTTTCCTTTCGGGCAAAATTTAAGAAGAAAAAAAAAAGAAAAAGAAAAAGGAGGGGGAGCAAAAGCAAAAATAATAAACCCCCAAGCCCCCCAAGCACACGCACACACACCCCAGCGTCTTCTCGGCTATGCGCTCAGAGCGGCCGGGGGCACTGCACCACCGCCTCCCTCCTAGTCCGGAGTACGGCGCATTTTCCACCTGGCTTTGCACAGCGTTACCGATTAACCCGGGAACGGGCCGGGGCTGGGG